AGAGTATAATTATCAGATTAAACCATGGTATTTAACCTAACAAAACTACATGTTTAATTCATGTATAAGTGAATTAAAATTATCTGTATGTATAATCATAAATATATGTGCATATATATTTGTGATATTTAAAAATTACCACCAGTAACTTGCTTTGTGGAATCAATGAATTATAATGGAATATGCAAACTAGTATTATTTATTGGCTTGTGATTGAGTGATTTTTTTATCTTATTTTAATAAAACAGAATAGTATTCATGTGTATGGGTGATACCGACATAATTTGGAGCTGGTGCTGGTCTGCTCCTTACCCCAACTTAAGGGTATGAGTCATTGGATGTTTATAGGAAGCAACAGGATGGGATTTTATGTTATGGAACTGCCTTGGATACATGAGACAATCCCTTGCTGCAAGGTTGATTCATATTTTAGTTCAACTTTATGTCATGTTCTCTATTCATCTATATGTCGTATATATATATATATATATATATATATATATATATATATATATATATATATATATATAATATATATATATAATATATATATATATATATATATATATAATATATATATTATATGAAGATATTAAGAACATTATAATATATTCAAAAATAAACTTATACTCAACTTTTAAGGACACACATTCCTGGTATGAAAATTAGCAAGATTGTAGCACTAGAGAAGAGACCTCAGAGGCCATCTAGCCAATTTGTTCCCGACCAAGAATCCTCTCTAAAGCACGCTCAGCAAGTGGTCATCTACCTTTGCATCAAGATGTCCCTTGAGGGAAAAGCCCATTCATCCTCTTGTGCAGCCCCAGCTGTTAGGATGCTTTCCCTTACATCAGGACTAGCTCTGCTTCACTTCATTTTTGCTCCTTGTTTCTAGTTCTTCACTCAGGGATCAAGCAGAATAATTCTCATTCTCTTCTGCATGACAGCCTTTCACATATTTGCAGACAGCTGTCATGTTGTTCCCCCTCCCCCCTATTCTCTCCTCCAATATGAATACTGATTTTTCCTTCAACTGATACTCATATGGCACAGTCCCTTTATCCATCCAGCCGCATTCCTCTGGAAGGAGCTCATTTTTGAGCTTATCGACGTCCTTTTTAAACTGCAGTGCCCAGAATGGAATCCAGTTTTCCAGATGTGGTCTGAGCTCCCTCATCCTTCTCCACAGGGCTTGAACAGTCCTTGACAGTTGACCTCCTTTCCCACATGATAGTTTGTCACCCCTTTGTTTTGAAACCGTTGTTCAGAAATCCAGATTCTCCCGAATCTGCAGCCACATGTAGGCATTCTGTAGAAATGTGCTGTTAGATGTATTTTTGGTATATTTTTCACCTGAGCTGTCAACATTTTATAGATATAAATTAATTGAAAATATTTCTTTTTTTAGATTGAGCTCTTGAGGTAACAAGACCTCTTGGTCTGCATTACAGATAGGGCCATTGGCAACACAGAGTACAGAACCCAAGCTGCCAGTGTTCCATCACAGTTTTCATGTTTTCTCTCATAGGATATACTGATATAATACTGGCCTCTTAAGTGAAGTCTTCAAGACTTCAAGTCTTCAAGAATTCTTACTGTAGTTAGTAAGTATACTATAGTAAGAATTGCCAAGAGTATTATTATAATGCCATGTTGCTGAGAATTTGATCCCTTCACGAAACTAATAGTCAGTTTGGTGCTTAATTATTAAAAATTCTACAAAATTGAAAAAAAAATTCCAACACTTTATACTTTAATAATTCAGTACACTCAGTGGATTTATGGAAATTTTCCTCATTGCCTGGTATCATTTTGAAACCAAGAAGCAAATGAAACATTTTTAAACTGCTTTAAGTTGTATAAAGAGTTTGCCATCTCTTATAGTTCATGGCAGTTTGAGTATTAGGAAATGACTTGGGCTCTGAGGATGTTTAGCATAAAGCAGTTTCAAATAAGGTTGTTTTAGTTGGATGTAATTGGAGCAGTTCTGGGCTGATGTAGTATGGTTCACACTTTATAGGGAGCTTCAGCTAGAACTTGTAAAAGAAAAAAACCCCCTAGGGCCACATTTTTAAAGGCTCATGCAATAGGGTGCCACAAAAAACTCACATGCACCCGTTGTACAGGCAGCAGCCTGTTTATATGGCTAAGCATGGGATTTGGCCTGTGTTAGAAGACTGTGCGCTCTGAAGTTCATTCAGAATTGAAGGAGAAGCTTAACCTATAAAATTCTTTCATTTAGAGTATGACTGTGCTTTTCTGCATGTTATAATTTAACACGTTCATTTAGTTGTTTATAGGTGGAGGTGGCTGTATAGACCAAATGATTCATGTCAATGACATTTTTTGACTTTTGGCAAAGGTGTTTACCAGACTAAAATTTTTAGGAAAAATACTTAGTTCCTAAAATGAACATCTATATATGAAATACTTCTAAAACTTTAAAAATTAATATATAATATATATATACACATATTTCTAGTAATTTTTGATTGTAGATTTCTCTCAATATCACCATTGAAATATACTTGAAATTGAAAATTGTATTTTATTTTATCTGCCCATGACAAACTGAGTTAACAAATTAGTTTTAAGGTGCATCTTTATTCCCTAACAGTGTGAAATTTCATCACTATTCATTTATTACAGAAGATAATCATATTAGAAAACTTATTCACTATCTTGTATGAGTGGCAAGGTAAACTGCAAGTCGTGTTTTATGCATACCTTGCTGCAAACTTTGTCTAAATCAATCAACTTTAGAAATTGTAAGAGTGAACAAATAGAATCTCTGCAGTAGGGTAGAGTTGAAATGGATAATTCTTTATTCCACTAACTAATAACCTTTGTGCTTTAGAACAGGATATTATTCCCATTTAAGAGATGTAGAAATTGACCCAAAATAAGCTTAATGTTTTGCCCAAGACAATACAGAAAGTAGATAAAACAGTAGGAGTGAGACTTGAAAACCTCAATGACCTGTGACTTACTTAACCATACTACCTCTGTTAAGAAATTCATTGCACACCTTCTGTCTGTGGGAGTACAGACCCTGACTTGGGGAGTTCTCATTGATTCTGAGCCAGAAAAATAGGGTCTTGGACTTGTGGTTGGTGCAAAATGGAGGTGTATATTGTGTCATTTTCATTGGTTAGGGCTAATGTTCTTTTTCCAGGCCCCCAATCCTCAGGGTAAAGACATTTTAAGTATTTTCAAAACCGCAGTGACCAGATGTGGGAAACAATTTGCATTTCTAATAGCAGCACCAAAGAGTCTTTTGTTGTTTTGTATCCCTGTATATCTGCATTTGTCAAATGATATTTTGTTATAAAATGCTTCCTAAAATGTGGATGTTGTGGTCCTGTTACTTCTATGGTGTTAATAAAACCATAAATTTTATTTGAAAACTTGTGAAAATGGTCTTCTATACATTCAGCCAAAACAAGCCCTCTTAGAACTAAGTGAGTTCAGTGGAACGTTTCTGGCTATTTAAAAAAAAAGTCAAACATGTGATCCTTTTGAACTCCTGGCATTGTTTCAGAAGACTGTCCTGGCTTTCATCTTCCATATTCAGTTATGTTTTCAAAAAATAGAAACAGATTTTTAGTACTATTGAAAACTTTATATGAAATTTATGCTTTTTCTATATTTTCTAAGCCAAAAACCAAACACACATAAACTCATGCCTTGGCATTTGATTTTGGTTGCTTGGTGATTATGTAAAAGGTTGAGAGCTGTTATAATTGAGTAAGCTAGGATACCTTGTAGTAGAATCTAAAATTCTGCCATAAAAAGGCAGTTTCTTAGATTTTGATACCTCTTTGGTAGACTAAGGTTATCCAGCAATACTGTAATTGACTGAGAAAGAAAATAGAATTAAATAGGTCGGCTTGCCCTTAGGAAAAGTGGCAGACAGTTTGAGGCTAATGTTGTTTCTGTCAGAGCCTGGACATACCCGAATGTCTACAGAATGGTGCCCATCCAGTCATCAGTATAGCTAAGTCATCTTATCTATACCTATTATCACAGTTGATATAGACTGTTTTAATCAGTTTCACTAGTCGTACAGAGGGGCCACATCTTTATAACATTACTGAGATTCTAAACTTTAGCCACCAGTCTACCAAGACAGGGTGGAAGACAAAGTTCTCCCATAGGTAGAATGTGTAGAGTTACCTCACTAACGCAGTTGTGAATTGAACTGAGGTAGGATGACTACTGGAAATTGTTGTTCAGTCTTTGCCATTTTTTATGATCCCATTTGGGGTTTTCTTGGCAAACATATTGGAATGGTTTGCCATTTCCTTCTTCACCTCATTTTATAGATGAGGAAACTGAGGCAAACGGGCTTAAATGACTTGCCCAGAGTCATACAGCTGGTAAGTGTCTGAGGCCAAATTTCAACTCAGGGAGTTGAGTCTTCTTAACTCCAGGAGACCGTCTTTAGGATCCAGGATCCTAACTCCAGGATCCACTGGGCCCTCTAGCTGCCCCGGCTACAGGAGGGGCTTGGGGTTGGGGGAGTGAAACACTTAAAGTACGTAATGCAATACTGCTTGTTGACATAGCCATAGACTTCTAGGACACAATGTTGGCAGGCAAACCAGCCTTGGCTTACCACCAGTGAGAGTAGGATAAACTCTCCTTAAGCAGAAGCTTGAACCAAATGCATGATCCTAAGGGACACAGTTGCAAATAGCACCAAGTTGTACATAGTGACTACAAGCAAAGAATCCAATCTGTGTACATGGTGTATATGGGAAACTCTTCAGACATGCTTGAATGGAGATAGTCCATAAATTATATCTGAGTACAAAGGAAAATAATTTATAGACAGATGGAAAATGGTTCCGGGTTCTTGAGTATTTTGGTTTGTTTTTGTGGCTTTTCTCCAAGAAAAAATGATTTTGTGATGTTAAAGGAGAAAGTAAAGAAAGAAGGCTTATTCTAATAGGCTTATGTCATTGAAATAATAATATGATCATTTTTCTTCCCCACAGGTTGTACCAATTCTTGAGATTCTATATCATGTTGAAGAAAGGAATTCACACCATGTGTACATGGCTCTTATTATCTTGTTGATCCTGACAGAAGATGATGGCTTCAATCGATCCATTCATGAAGTGGTGAGGCATGGTAGCTTTGGGTACATTTACAGAATCTGACGGTTTTTATTTTCTATACCAATCACATAGCCCTTTACTTATATTCCCTTTCGTTGCCAGTTATCTTCCTATTCATACTTGTTTCTCTGGCTAGACTGGAAGTTACTAGAGGGCAGAATTCTTATTGTATTAATCTTTTATTCTTGATGGCATGATATTTTGCATATATTAGGCATTCAGTAAATATTTATTGAATTAATGAATGTAAAAATGTGTCACTATAAAATTAACTGCCACAGTAGCTTTTGTTCTGTTTTCCCTCCTTCTTGGTAGATGTTTTTTAGGGGACCTGGCTTGGAAATGCAGTATGTTTCTCTAGATTTATGAGGTGCTATTCTCCTTAGGCATAGTTATTAACCACTGGTATAAATTTTTTCAAAAGTGTTTCTTTAGTGATATGTGCAAATGTTTTCCCTGCCACTAGGTTCACTTTTCTTCTGAAGTTCATTTCCTCTTTCCAGTTGAAGTTGGAAATAGTCAGGCAGGTTGACTCACGTATGCTAGGTGAGCCAGGAAAAGGAGATTGAGGAGGAGAGAGGAAGATCAACAGTTACCTGTTTTATACCATTGTAGTATCCTTAAATGATTTCCATAGGGTCACACATATTTCAATTTAACGTTCTTTATGAGCATTCCTGTTCGTCAACTAAATACTGCTTCATCCTTGGCATAACCTTTATTCTTCTCTACTAGATTAATTTAAACCTCTTTTATGCCAGCTATACAAGGAGACCCACATTTCAACTAGGTAGAATGGATCTTAGCCCTCTGTGTTAGAGGACAACAAGCACAAACATCTATGGCTCTCCTTTTTGGTAAAGTTATCACAAGGTAGAAATTATTTCCATTAATTTGTTCTTCTTTGCTTAGAGTTTATGTTGTTTTATATGAAAAGCAGAAAACATGTCATTTTGAAAAAAGATGTAAAATTGTTTTGGGATTAGTAAATGAAATAGTTATTTCCTGACTGGTCAATTCCCAAGAGCCAAGCTATTGTGTATATATTCACTATTAACTGCTTTTTAATATTCAGAACCTTAGGTCATAAAACACTGTGACCTAGTTAAGATATTCAAGAAGAATTTAACCCCAAATTTATGGGAGTGAAAACTAGTTTTAGGACTGAAAATTTAAACTTTACAAATCAACATTTAATGCTACATATGTTTTATCTCTCTATAAATTTTATTTATCAATAAGTAACAATATAACAAGTATAACTGTTTAACTTAGAAAACTGGGTTATCTGTGTCCAATTTCTTAAATCTGTAAGAGAAATTCACTTTGTACAAAGAAATCACTTTCTTGAATGTTAGGCCTGGAATGGACCTTAGAGGTCATCTGTTCCCAATCATATCATTTTACAGATTAGGAAATTGAGGCCATTTTGACTTGCCGAAGGACACAAGTCATTTAGTGATATAACCAAGATCAAAATCCAGATCAAAATGACTTCTGTCAACAAACAGTAAGCCCATATTATGTGCCAAATTATGATTAGTTCCGGGGATACAAATAAAATATAAAAAAGCAATCCCTATACTCTAGGAGCTTATGTTCTACAGGGAGAAACAACATAAAAAGTTCTATACAAGATAGATACAAAGTAGTTGAAAGGTAGTTTTAGATGAGAAGGCCCTTATATGAGGAGAGCTGAGGAAAAGCCTCCTGTGGAAAATGGAATTTGAGCTGAGGCCTGAAAGAAGCCAGAGATTCTAAGGGGTGAGGTGAGGAAGAACATCGTTCCAAGTATAGAGAATAACCCTTCCAAAGGCATAGAGATTATAGACGGTGTTGTCTCTGCAAGGAGCATCAAGTGGGGGACAGCATGACGAGTCAGTGGAATGGGTGGAAGGGAGTAAAGTATAAGGAGAGTGGAAAGGGAAGCATGGGGAACTATCAGTGCCAAATTTATTTGGTCCTATAAGAAATAGGAAGCTACTGGAATTTATTGGGACAAGACGGCAGTGTTTGCCTGCTTCCTTAAAGATGAACTAGAGTGGGGTGAGACTTGAGTCAGGAAGCTCTATTAGAAGGGTATTACATAAGACCAAGAAAGAGGCAATGGGAGCCTGAAATAGAGTAGTGGGCTATGTTAATAGTAGTGAAAGAGACAAATGGGGATGGGTTGAAGAAACAATTATTTGAAGAAATAATTGTCATGCAAAGTAACTGACTGCCTAATCTTCTTGAACTGCTAATCCCTAGTAGTACCTCATTTTACCTAAAGAATAATTACAATTTGGATAAAACTGAATAACCTTTGACCCAGTGATACTACTACCAGGCTTATACACCATAGAGATCAAAGAAAGAGGAAAAGAATGATATACACAAAAATATTCTAACAGCTCTTTTTGTAATGTCAGAAGAACTACATACTAAGGGAAGATGCTCATCCATTTTGAAATGGCTGAACAAATTATGGTATGCTAATATAATGGGGTACTATTGTGCCATAAGAAATGATTGAATACATAGTTTCATAGAAACCTGGGAAGATTTATTTCAACTGATGTGGAGTGATGGGAACAAAAGTACAATATATACAAGAACGACAGTACTATAAGGGCCAATAACTTTGAAAGACTAAAGAATTTTGATCAACACAATGATCAGCCATGGTTCCTGAAGACCGATAATGAATGCATGCTTACCAACTTCCTGACAGGTGAAGGATTCAGAATGTGACATGTATCTTTTGGATGTGATCAAAGCAGGAATTTGTTTTGCGTAACTCTGCATATTTGTTAAAAATTTATTTTGTTTTTAGTTAATTGAAAAAATTTAATTTTTAAAAATATTTCCAACCCCTGATCAGTTGAAACACCCACAGTTCATAAAATAAAATTTCACAGTGTAAGGGGCAGGCAATAGAAACAATAATATGGTAAGGTATTTATCCCATTTCTACATCAAAAGGGTAAAGCTCTTGCACATTTTGAGTGGATCATTTTGTACCTTGTAAAGTATGAGAACTTAAAGGGTTCAGACACTCAGTGACCTATTTGTAGATTGTAAAGGGTGAGAAATTGCGAGTAATCTAATCACAGCTTATAAAGGAAGTATAAAGATGTGTTTATACTTTTTTAGGAGGTATGAAAAAGTTCCTCCATCAGTTTGATGACATTTTAGGGCATGTAACCATTGACTAGTTAAACAATCAACCACACACCTGGTAACCTTTAAAAAACCATTTGGTTGTAGACATGGCAAGCACTATCTAAGATAGGGGTTCTTACTCTTGGGTGTGTCATAGATTCCTTTGGCAGTCTGGTAAAGCCTATGGATTTCTTAAATTAAGGTTTTTAAATTCATAAAATAAAAGATAAAGGATTACAAAGAAAGGAAATTATATTGAAATACAGTTCTCACAATATTTAAAAAAAAAAGTTCACCCGACGCTAAAGAACCCTCACTCTAAGAAATCGGTTGAGTTAGAAGGACCTCAGTTAATTGAGTTAATCAATCAATCAACAAACATTTATTATGAGCAAAGAGGGAAAAGATATCTCCCTGCCCTGAAAGAGCTCACAGTCTAATAGAGGAGATTAATTACCAAATATATGTACACACACACACACACACACACACACACACACACACACACACACACAAGCTTTTGATTGGGACTTAAAAGAAGCCAAGGGATCAAGTAGACAAATGATGAAGGAGTGCATTCCAGACATGAGGGACAATCAGATAAAATGTCCAGAGCCGAGAGATAGAGCATTTTGCTTGTGTGATCACAAGCAGGACAAGAGTGGAGTGGTGGAGAGGAACCCAGTGGAGCAGCCTACCCAGTAGTAATATTGTGCCCAGGGGGAGCATCATGGGGACACTATGAAAAGAAAAAGGATGTTGGGTGTGAGTTACCTTGGCAATCTTTCTTCCCATACATGTGTAATTTTCTATTACAGTATTGTTTGTTCTTTCCACTGATCCTTTGATGCTTCCCAGATTTGAGGTGGGGGTGTGTGTGGTAGTTGTTTGTTTTGTAATTGTTCTTGCCTTTTGGTGTTTGGGTTTTTTTACTTATTGTGTCCTTATGATTCAGTTGTCTCTCTGCATATTGTCTTCAAGACTGATATGTTTTACTTGTATAGATATCATGTTTTCTTTAAATGATATTGCTTTTTGCTTCTCTACTGAAGATTGTCCTTTGTGTGCACACACACACACGTGCACATATTCCCAGTTATTCTCTCTTTTGTCTCTTTGGTGACAGTATCACCTGTAGGATCAAATACAAAATCCATTTGGCATTCAAAGCCCTTATAACCTACCTTCCTATCCACTATACTTCATTCACCACCTTTCCAGTTTTCTTATGCTTTAATCTTCACCACATACTCATCCAGTGACATTGGCCTCCTTGTTGTTTCACAAATAAGACATTCTCTAAGCTCCAGGCATTTTCTCTGGCTTTCTCCCATACTTAGAATGCTCTCCTTCTTCATCTCTACCTACTGGCTGCCCTGCCTTCCTTGAAATTCTAACTAAAATCTCATCTTCTACAGGAAGCCTTTTACAACCCCTCTTAATTCTAGTGCCTTCACTCTCTTAATTATTTCCTGTTTATACTCCATATAGGTTATTTGTATGTATTTGATTTCTTGCTGTCTCCCCCATTAGATTGTGACCTTGAAGGCCAGGGCTGTCTTTTACTTCTTTTTGTTTCCCCAGCACTTAGCACAGTGCCTGGTACTTAGTAGGAGTTTAATAAATGTTTATTTTTGACTAGATTGTGAGCTCCTTGAGGGCAGAGACTCTCTTTTGCTTCTTTTTGTATCCCTAGCACTTAGCATAATGCCTGACACATAGTTGATGCTTGTTGAATGCTTATTAACTGACTGACTGACTGATGAGACTTGCCACCATGGATTCACATTTTTCAATTCTGCCATTTCTTTCTTTTTTTAAAAAAAACATATCTTTTAAAACAATTCTTCTCCCTTCCT